GAATTATCAGCTAATTGATCTTTTATTTCTGCTCCGTTGTGAGCCGAATACGCGTTTGTCTGTCGCCTCTCCGAACAAGCCGACTTACCTGAGTATTCCAACCCCGAGGAAAACGCTCTATGAGCGTTCATTGGAGAGAGAGAGAGAGAAATAAATAAATAGATAGATATTAACACTTTTTAAAATCCATTTGCACCACCACAGGAGGTTGGGCTGAGAGACGGAGTTGGTTGGGGGGGGGCAGAAAATTAGCCGCTTCGCCAACAATCTCGATCCGGATGCCTTGTGTGAAGGACGAACAAAGCTTGGTTGGGGGGGGTGTTTGTGAGTTTTCCCCCCTCCCCTCTCTCTTCCTTGTTCTGATTAGCGATCCTCTATTCCAAGAGTCCAAGAAGAATCGCCATCCCAGCCGAGTCTCCGTACCGCACAGGGCTTGTCAGAAAAGTCGCCCAGGTTGGAGGGGTGGAAACCCTGTCATCTTCACCTTTACATCACCGCCGAGCGTCACCTTCTGCTTGATGAGACCTTTGAAGTGATCTTGAGATAATTTGCAGCTTCCAGGGCACTTAAAGAGGAGGATCGGTGGATGTTTAATGACAGATCAGCCTCCCTCTTCCCCCGCTCCTTTCGCTCTCTTTCCTCCTCCTCTCTCTCTCGATCTCTCTCTTTCTTTCCCTCCAATGCACTCCGAGCGGAGTAAAAGCAGATGTACGTAGGAAAGCACGGATCGCCTATACAGTACTGTTAAGTACCGGTAGTCTATTTCAATATATCCTTGGCTCGGGGAAAAGGATCACATGTCTTAAAGTGATATTAACCCTCTGATTGCAATCCGGCGCCACCGGATCGCCTCGCCTCCGCGTGGTTCCCCCCCTCTTACACTCAAGGAGGCTGCTTGGAAACCTCGGCAGGGCGAAGCGTTTATGCAACAGAGCGGTCTTCGCAAGTCAACCTGGGCTTCATTCTCTTTTTCTCTCTCTCCCTCCTCCCTCCAGGATCAAACAGAAAAAGGGAAGGGGAGGGTGAGCCCTCTTATCATTCGCTTGAGCTTGAGGTAGGGAAGCCACGACAGACAGACCAAGGCAGAAAGGCAACTTTTTAACAGCCAGGGCAAGGCATAGAATTAGTCATCACCGGAGAGGAAGGCGGCATCTATCTAGGGATGCTGAGCTTAGAGATCAATGTGGCATGGAACGTCTGGGTTTTTGTGAATGGTGATGTTCTAGTGCGGACAGCGTCCATCTATCTCATGGGGTTTGTCAGAGGCCTCCCTGCTGATACAGAGAACAGCCTGTTGGCATCTTAAATGACTGGAAAGTGTGACATACAGTAACTCTTTGCTGGGGGCTTAAGTCAGTTTGCCAAGATGTATGGGCTGCCTCGCACTTTAATTGGTATAGAGTCTCTGCCTTTTTTTATTTTGTTTTGTTCCAACCGCCTATCACACTGCTCTCTCTTTCTAGGCACTGGTAGCTAACTAATGTGGATTTTTTTCCATTTAATTTATTTATATAATATGTATGCCACATTTCTCCCCATAGGGGACCCAAGGCAGCTAGAGGACAACAATTAAAACAATTAAATGTTATGCTGAACATCTGAAATATGATACATTTTAATATTCCTATATAAATATGGATGATTCCAGAGTTTTCACCTCCATGTGCTTTGCAGGTAGACATATCATGCTGTTAAGGTGCTTCCAACTTATGGTCGCCCTATGGATTAGTGAATTCCAAAATATCTTATCAACAGCCTTTCTCACCTCTTGCAAACTCAAAGCCACTGAGTCCAAATCATTTCTTAACTGCTCTTCATGTTGCCTTTAGCTTTCCCCAGCATTTAGTGTCTTTTCCAGTGAGTTTTGCTTTCTTGTGATGTACCCAAAATTTGATAGGGTCAGTTAAATCAATTTTAGTTCTAGAGAGAATTCACATTTGACTCAGTCATTGGTGTAAGGAAAACAGACAAATAATAATTTTGGACATTCGCTATATATCACAATGAAAGCCCCAAATATATAATATAATACTGTACAGCGAATACCCCAAACTATTATTTGTTTACTTTTTAATATAATGATACACTCACCTTCTAAACATAGTGAAGATCTGGAATTGTCAAAATGGTGGCATTCACATGGGAATGCTATAAAGTCCATATGACTTCTATGAATATCCAGAAACAGATATATATTTCACAGAGTTATGAGTATAAACATGTGAACTTGCACACATCTGCAAGTTTCTTGGGATGCTGAGGGATCCTCAGTTATGAATGTTGTCTAGGTTTGATATTTATATAAAATGTCACCAAAACTTGGCCCAGATGATTCCAAGATGTAAATGTTTGATATAAAGGAAGAACATTGGATTTGACTGATAAGAAAACAAAGACAGTTTCGAAAGTGGAAAGAGAAGGAGGGCAGAATTCAAAAGTGCAAAGCAGCCAAAAGGAACCACTGTTATTTTATTTCCCGTTTGAATTCAAAGGGTTAGTAAACTCTCTCCAACCTCCTACTGTATCATGAGGGCTTGGCAATTTATTGCAGTCATTATTATCTGATGCCAATAATTTAAGTGGACATTTACAGGAATGAACTATTCTCTCCCCCACATCCCATCCTTCTTTATATACATTATGCTGACAATTAAGACATTAAAGCTGAAATCCTCTGCCCCCCTCCCCAATTTTCTTTGGAGTCCATCCCAATGATCTGTGTTAGGTATCTTTCTAAGGAAACACACACAGAATCAGGCAGCACTAATACACTGTTAGGCGTGTTGACCTGGATGTTAGTTCCTTGAATTAAATGGGATTTACTTCCAAGTATACAAGCTTAGGATCAGCAGGTATCATTTGCTATAAGTACAGTATCTGGGTACGAAAGCATTCTACAGTGCACGATACTGCAGACTACAAAATAAACTACACGTTTTGATTTACTCTAACATGTAAGCTGGCTGCAAACTGTAATGTCCTCCACTGTATTCCTGCACAGAATCAGCAAGATTACACTAGAGTACTTGGTTCATGAACGGCAGGTTTAAACTGTCTAGCCTACTATGTTCAAGACCAAGAAAAGTATAGATTGTACACTGGCTCTAAATTGTTACCATCACACCAACAACCTCATTTGCTATGATTCTGACCATATAAAACAACATAAACAGCTGTTGAACAGTCTCCAGAATGTTTCATTTTGCACTATTTTATTTAATATGTATTGGGGAATGGATGGGTTGAGACTGGTTTTCTGCTCTCACAAACTGACTTAGACATTTGATGCAGCAATGTTCAGTATTACTGCCCTGAGTCAACATAGGGATCCACTGGATCCAATCCAGCAGCTATTGTGAAAACATCCAGGCTCTTGTCAGCCTCAGATCACCTTCATCTGCTTTTCTTTAACATAAGGATGTGTTCCATCTAGAGATGGGGACAAATTGCCAAAATGGCAGTTCATGTTGGTTCATGGTTCATCAAGGTTGATGAGCCATGAAACACGAACTTCCCGCTGGTGAACTGAGCAGTGGGGGGGGGGACTTTGGGCAGGGGTTCCCTGTCTTTCTATGCCACTGCAGATCAGATGGTTCATGGGGGGCATAGAAAGATAGGCCAGCTGCCTGGTTGCCCAAAGTGAATACCCCCCCAACACACACACACAATGTTTGCAAAGACAGCAGGGGTGGATTCCCTTCAGGCAGGCTTCCCCTGTCTGTCTGTGCCCCACAGATCAGCTGGGGCATAGACAGATGTATGTTCACCCCTTCGTAGTTATCAAGATTTCTGTATCTTACAAATATGAAGGGATGAATATCCAATGAATCAACGATATTCAACAAATATTGTGATTCATGTTTATATTCCTCCCCATGTCTAGTCCCATCCATAGGAGTCAGCCTTGTACAAAGGCAGTTCTTTTGTCCACCTGGCCCTGTGGTTGACACAGATAGCATCTTTCCAAAGTTCAAGGAGTCTGTCCTAAACTTGGCTTGGAGATACCAAGAATAGAACCTGCGATTTTCTTCATGTAAAGTATGTGCTTTACTTACAGCCATTGCCGTCTTGCTTGTTTGCTTGTTTACACACCCTTGTCTTCAGGTTATTTATTTATATTTGCTTGCTTGTTTATTTGTTTTATAGGCTGCTTTTCTCCTGATAAGGGGACTCAAGGTGGTTCATAATATTAAAAAGAATATAATTAAAAACATAACAATGTTAAACATGACAAAAAAAATAAACGACATGGTAATTAAAATACAATGGAATAATTAGCAGCGAGTAAATATTAAAATTTATCTTAACTTTTAAAAGGCATTAGGGCCTTAATCATGACTGTTAAAAGTCTGCTTGAAAAGATGGGTCTTCAGCTGTAGGCAGAAGGATAAGAGGAAGGGCTCCGGCCTGGTCTCCCAGGGAAGAACATTCCATAACCTGGGAGCTGCCACAGAGAAGGCCCTCTCCCATCAACTTTCCCCATCAACTGTGCCTGTGCTGGCAATGGGACAAAGAGGAGGGCTTCCACTGATTATCTTCTATGCCAGGAAGGCTCATGTGAGGAGACACTGTCCTTAAGATAGCCTGGACCCAAGCTGTACAGGGCTTTAGAGGGAACGATTTTTATCTCCTCCCCAAAGCGTAAAGCAAATAATTGTATGATTACACTGAATCGTTAACCAACTCAGATGTTAAGATCATCAGGAGAGTCCTTTCTCTCAGTACCACCACCTTCACAGGTGTGTCTGATGGGGTACTCAGGAGAGAGCCTTCTCTTGCCCCGCTCTGAGGCTCTGGAATCCCCTCCGATGGGAAGCTAGGCTGGTTCCATCTCTATGGTTCTTCTGTATGCAGGCAAAGACCTTTCTCTTCAGGCAAGCTTTCCCTCAGTGACTGGCTAGACAAGTGTGACTTTTAGATAGATTGTCATGTTCTACTGCTCCGACTGGGTCTTTAGTACTACTTGTGCTTGCCATCTTTCAGGCTAATATTTGCTTTGTTTCTTTTTAAATATTGGTATACTTATTGTTTCAGCTTTAATATTATCTTTAATGCTGTAAGCTGGGGACAAACTGCCAAAATGGCAGTTCATGTTGGTTCATGGTTCATCAAGGTTGATGAGCTACAAAACACAAACTTCCCGCTGGTGAACTAAGCAGCGGGGGGGGGCACTGTAAACCACTGTTGTATACTCATTTTTTCAGCTTTAAATATTGTCTTTTAATGATGTAAGCTGCCCTGGGTCCTTTTCAAGGAGAAAGGTGGGGTAAAATATTTTAAATTAATAAATAAATACAGTTTAAACATGAAAGTTTAACAAGCAAGTAATAAAATAAAAGCACAAAAAACAATACAAAGGCAGTACATCTCGCTTTCCATTTTCAGAACCAGAAGAAAAGACCTCCAGTGTTAAGCTACAGGTAATGACCCACAGAAATCTTACAACAGAGGTGGGAAACCTTTTGTCCTCCAGGTATACTGGCCTCCGGTTCCCTCTGTCTCTTACTGTTGATGGTTAGATCTGGTCTGAAAGCCAAAACGCCTGACCCTACCTGGGAGGGGAGGACATACTGTTGCAGAAAAGAGCTGGATGGAAGTAAAGGAATAGTTTATATACATGGAGGGTGTATAGTAGGATATAGGAGCTAGAGAGGGATCAGGAAAGCCAAGGACAACAGAACAGACCACTCAGGTCCTTGGTAGTTGAGTACTTTGGTAATTAGGGAGTTGTCAGCTTTCTGCAGTCTGGCATTTCTGCGTAACGTTTTGCATGAATCTCTGTAGCTCTTGCTCAAAAAAGTACTGTTTCTCAACAAACAATGAAACTCAGTGTAAGCCCTGACAATGACTGGTGCTTCTGTTG